TTATTTTAAGTTATCTGCGCAACATAGGACGAGTCTACTTTCTTTTGGGAAATCACACTCAGGCTGTCGAGTACCTAGAGAAAGCCATAAAAGGCAATCCAAATGATCCTGTAAGGTTCTTCAATCAAAGTAACAACATGAAAGTTATGAGCTTCCTAGAAATCATACTATTGGTTAGCTCGTGCTATCTACCATTTGGATACCGATTTGTTCAATCCTTGTGAAAAAGCTCGTGATCTTCTCATGCAGGTAAACAGTTTGCAAAACCTTCCCATCAAATTCCGATTTCATTGTTTTCAGTACTTCAGTGATTTTTAGGCTCCTTCTCTAAATAATTCCGTTGAGCTGATCGTATTTCTGGCCAAATTAATGGCTGAACTGGGAGACACAACAGCGGCAATCCAGGCTTATGAACGAGCACTGCAGGTCTAAGTTGCTTTACAAAATCGTTTTGACTAAAATGCGCAAAGAAAGATCTAGCTAGAGCCTGAGAATCTTGATGTGATGTTCAAAATGGGCATGCTTTACTTACGCAACAATAACGAGGATCCAGCTTTTGCTATGTTTGGAAAAGCTCTCAGTTACGATTCTACACATCAGCAGGTAATTATGCTTCCCCATCTTCTATATTTCATCTCGTTTATTTTCTTAAAAAAACTTAAGTTTAAGTGGCGTAATTGTAAAGCATTCAAACCGTTTTGGGTTCACTTTTGTGCGAAGTATAAAGCACACAAAGATGTATTTACTTTAAGAGAAGTTTTTAAGAGCATTTTGGCAGCTGGTTCCATAATGCAAGCACATGGCGATCATGATGTGGCCTTGAATAAATACAGGTAAGTTTTTTGTGATGCAACATGCAATATTTCAAACGTTCAACTCTAAGAGCTATTTTCCACAACATAGGGTAGCAGCAGATGCGTGTGATTACAATGGTTGTTTGTGGAACAACATAGGCGTATGCCTTCTTGCTAAAGGTCGCTTAGCACAAGCACATTCTTGTCTTAAAAAAGCCTCCTTCATTTGCCCACTGGACTACAAGTACGTTGTTTCTTTGCTTGAAATGGTCAAAAAGTTGTTGCACATTTCATTCAATTATGATACTCTAAGACATGAATGCCTAAAAATGCTGGAAGAGACATTCTCAAGGCATATCGTAAGTCAAAAAGGCAGTGAACGAATACTAAGTTTTAAAAATTTTTCATTGTTAGTCAAATGCTTGACAAATCTTATACCAGTATCCCACAACTGATTAGTCGCAATTGGTGCCCCACTGATTACAATCGAATGCTGAAACAGCATCGCTTTGTGTTGTAGAAGCAACTAAATTTGCAGTCTTGAGAATGGCATCTTGCCAATCATCTGTAGCTTAAATCCATAATATTACATGCAAAAACCAATTTCAAGGTATGCTCATGTCGTAGAAGAAGCATACTTGAAGTTGGAAAGCCCTTGAGAAGAGCAGTGCTCTGATTACATGGCGAAGGTTACGTTCTACATCTGAAGCTTTTCAAAGGAATTTTGATGAAAGATCCCCGAACCAGAAGTTCGCGTCTTCAAAAGATTCTATCCATTTTTTCTTCTGTTGGCATTTCTCACACAAAGGATCCACCCTACTTAC